GGGGAAATCCCCTGTTATTGCAATTTGGTGGTTTGGAGAGCTGCAAGGGGGAAACTGGCCTCCGCAAGGACTCAGCTTAAAGGTCCAGCAGGAGCCAGCCCCTTCCTGATCTCCCTAAAGTGCAGCAGGACTGAGCCCTCCCCCACAGCAGGAACCCCCTCCTCCCCCCCCAAAAAAAGTTTTTTTTATATATATCTATATATATAAAAAAAAGCAAACTCTTTACCGATACTTCTCAAAAAGCGGTACAAAAATACAGTATAAAAACACAGCCTCCAGTATAAGACTCGCAGTTACAGCAGCAGTTTCTAGAACACAAAATCCAAGACAAGCTACTGCGTGAAGTGATAAGAAAGTGAGGTACAGTCCAGCCGAGCAAGGGGATCGTCCACGGGGTGCTGTTAACCCCAGAGAGAGACATCCTCCTGCCACCATCATCTCCATGGGTATCTCCATCCAGAGACAACCCCCGTGTGCTGGGCTCTCGGTGTCCAAAGCAGACCATTGGGATGTTTGGGACGAGATGGGCACCCAGGGGCAGCTCCCAGCGATGCTGTTGGTGGCAAACAGCAGAAAAGGGGGTACAGGGGAGGGGGAACGGAGTTGAGCCCATGAATTGAAGCAGTCACTTGAGAAAGCTTCACAGGGGGGACAGGGGAAATGTTGTAACACCCAGTGCCAAGAAGCCAGCCCCAGGCAGGTGATGCCATGGAGGGGGTGGGGTGTGTGTCCTGCTGTGACCTCATCCCTGCATCTGGGAGCACCCTGACACCCACCCCACATGCAGCAACTGCTGCGTGCTCCAGCCCCCTGGGGCCGACAGTTCAACAAACAACCCCCCAAAATACCTAAAAAAATGTGCAAATTGAGAAGGGGCTGGGGGGGGGGGAGGGGAAGTCATGGGGACCAGGGTGGTGGGCACGTTGGGTGCTAGTGCTCCTTGAGGTGAGCAATCCGTTTGAGCAACTGGGACTGCCGCAGCTGCAGCTGCCGCTTCTCGGCCGCCATCCTCCTTTCGGCACTGATGAGGGACTGCAGGTACTCGGAGGATTTGCTCAGGATCACCACTTTGGGGGTCTTAGGGCAGCTGGCGAGGCCGGGCACCTGGTCCCGCAGGGCCAGGAAGCGCGAGCGCAGGTCGTTGCGCCGCTTGCGCTCCAGGTAATTGTGGTTTTTCCTCTTGGCCACATCCTCACTGTCAGAGCTGGGGCTGCTGCCGGCTTTGGGCAAGCCGGGCTCAGGCAGCGTAATGGCAGGAGGAGACTCCGTGGTGGTCAGTGGCTCATCCTCATCCTGCTGCAGTGGCTCTGTTGGGGGACAGGCGTCTGGTGGCGAGCGGGCAGCATAGTTGTGCTGCTGCTGGTGGACGGAGATGTGGAAGCGTTTCATGCAGGGGTCCAATGGATCGGCACGCAGTGTGATGGTGACCGGCTTCCTCAGGCTGAGCGATTGTCTCTTCTCCACTGTCACCACGTCAATCTCCTCACCTTCTGCTCAAAAGGGACAAGCCAAAAAAAACCAAAAAGAAGTCACCATCAGTTAGGAGCCTCCAGTCAACCCTCATCACCCTGCTGGGGCTCCCCGAGGCCCTCGGATGATCTCCCTGCTGCCATCCCATAAAAGTTTGCTCATAAACCGCAAAGCCACCCTGAGACCTCCAGAAGGGTTTACACAATTTAGATGCTTTTCCAACACCATCGCAAAGGAAGGAGCTTTCCTTCTGCACCAGTGTGCCCAGTCCCCTGAAATCGGGATAGGGCTTTACTTCTGCACCAGGAGCAACACATGATAACGGACAAGAAACACCAGAGCCCATCTGCCTGGTGGGGGACACACTCACAGAAGGAAGAGGAGGAGGATGCTGGGGACCTGGGAGAGCCTAACTCCAAAGTTCATCCTGGTGGGGCACTTTCATGGCCCATTGGAATTGTAGATGAGGGACATGGGGGCAGAGCTGCCCTTTGTTCCCTTTGGCTGCAGCTTCCCACTTTGGGGACTTGTGACTTTTCACAAGTGATAAATCCCAATTCAGCCCTGGCTCCCCCGGGGACAGAGGGGACAATCCCCTGCAGTGCAGGGGGGAGGGAGAGATGAAGGGGTCCCTCCAACAGACGTGGTAAACCTCGAAGGCATCCCAAGCCCAGGAATCAGCGTGGAGGGAGGTTATCAGAGCTGTGAACAGCAAGACCCAAAGAAAGCACAACTGGACCCAAAGCACCCGCCTGCCTGTTGTCATTGCAGCTTGTCCTGATCCAGTGGCACAAAACTGGCCCCTGGGGACAGCGGGGTGACCTGGCTCCAGATGCTCCTGTGATCACTCTCTTCAGGAATGCTGTTCCACCTTTTTTCTTGGGCTTTGGGGGAAAATACAGCCCTTTGCTAAAAGTCCCCCGAGATGCTCAAAATCTCACCCCTCAACACTTGGCTCCCGCCCCTCCTGCGACAGGGCCAGCGGTGGCTTCAGGAGCTGGGCTCTCATCCTCCTGCTTGTGGCCCACAACCCACAACCCCGGCTCCCCCCAGGCTGCAGGGGCTCTGCCCAGCAAGCCCAAGCCACCCTGCTACTGGAGCTACTGGGGGGAGAGAGGGGGGCACTCGCTGCCCCCACACAGTGTCTCATCAGTGTCACAACCTGGCCGGTCTCAGCCACGTGTATATACATACACACACGCACAATTCCCCGTCCAACCGCCGCCCATTAATAAAAGTCGGAGGGCGGGGCCCCGCCCTTCCGAGCCGCTCATTGGCTGCCCAGAGGAGCCAGCCGGCTGCCGCGCCATCCCATTGGCCGCCGCCCCTGCCCATCACCGCCGCCCCCTTCTCATTGTTTGCAATCTGTTGCTTTTTTGTTCGGTCGCCCACGTGGCGCGACCGGATCGGAACCGGGACCCCACCGGGGACCGGGACCCCCTCCCTCCTACCCTTCATCCCCAGGCGGCCCCCAACCAATTTGGGTTAAGCCTCTTAACGCCCGCGACCTGCTTACCGTCCCCGGGCTCCCTAATGGCATTAAGTCCCCCCCGTCCCGCACCGTGACTCACCGGCGCGGGTCGCTGCCACGGGCAGATTTATTAACGGGGTCACGGCACCACGTCAGCGCTCCCACGGCAGCCCAGCCAGCCCGGGGGAGGCGGGGGGGGGAAGAAAACAACGGCCGGCCCCCACCCCCCGCGGTGGGCGGGTTTGGCAAGCCCCCTCGGGGGGGGATGTTGGTAAATAAGGAGTGAAAAATGTATGGTTATGGGTTGAGGTGCGGGGCGGGGGTGGCACCACATTGCCCTTGGCTGGTGGGTTTTAGAGGCAGCCGCTTCCCAGCTCGACACACACAACCCCCCTCCCCCCGCCGTGTAAACACGCCACCCCCTCACTCCCACGCGGGACGAGCAAACGTGCCCCGGGGGGGTGGGTCTGATGCGGGATGTCCCTGCCCATCCCACCGAGCCACCGCCTCGGGGGACGCGGCTGCTGCTCCGCAGCCTGCCGGCCCCAGGGGATATTTTGCCTTTTGTCCCGAGGAAAACCCGTCCGCGGGTGGGCCGCCGTGAGCGTGCGGACGAGGGGAAGCAGCCGAGGTTAGCAGCCGGCAGCCGAGCACGGCAAACCCCGAACTTCCCAGGCTGAGCTGCAAACTTGTCCCTCGCCAACCTGCCCACGAGGGTCTCGGGCGAGAGGGGCCACCAAAGACCCACGCAACGGCCGGGGAGGGGAGCCCCACGCACCTTTCTGCGAGGAGCAGGGGTTTCCCGAGGAGAAGCCCCGCGGGAAGGGGAGCAGCCGAGCCCCGCTTTGTTCGTGGGGCCGGAACCGGGGCTCGCCGGGAGCCGCAACAAAGGCGCTGCCTGGCTGGGAGGCTCCCGAAACGCACATGTGCGGACACGCGTGTCTTCCACGCCGGGCTCCCCCGGGGGTGGCAGCAAGGCTGGGCCGGGGGCAAGCCCGCACCTCGGTCTCTTACCGGAATCGCTTTGGCCCTCGGATCCCGAGGATGCGGGGATCTTGCTCTCAGCCAACGGGCAAAGGAAGACGGCGGCGGGATCCACGCACTCGCTCACCGAACTGCTGAATCCAAAATCCTGGGCGAAGGAGGAGGGTTTGGGGGGGGTTGCCCTCTGCGCGCCCGTGGCAAGTTTCTCCGTCACGGCTTTCTCCAGTCTCTCCCGGGCTGAAAACCCGCTCCACATGCAATCCTTGAGGATGAAAGCACTCAGGTTCCCGAAGATCTCCCCCGTCCCGATGAGATACTCCGGCTCGTCTCCGGCCAGGCAGTACCGGGAAAGCCAGCCCGAGCGCTCCTCCGCCCCCGAGCAGCAGCCTTTCTCCCCGGGGGTACCCAGGGGGGAGAGGGGGGGCGTGGGGACCAGCTCGAACTTCTTCCATATGTCCTCGCTGGGTGCCGTGGAGCGGTGGAAATCCTCCTGGGCCTCATGGTCGTAGAAGTAATGTTGGTACGAGGTAAACTCCATCTCCGCATTGAGGGGGAGTGGGGTGGGGTAGCAGAACTTGGGGGCGGCAAAGGCGGAGGGGGGCAGAAAGAAAAGGGGGATCCCCCGCCCGATCTGCAAGCCTGCTCAGGAAAGGGGCACCCCCAGCCCCATGGAGGAAGTGGGGGAGACCCCACCCCCGGTACACCCACCCTCGCCCGGCGCCGCGGATCACGCCGGTACCAGCCACCCAGCCGGGACCGCGGGCGCATTGTTTCCCCCCCCGCTATTATAGCCTGTCCGCGGCGCCCGGCCCCGCCCACCCACCAATCACACGGCTTAGATTTGCATAGAGGGCGGGATTTTGCCGTATTTGCCGGGGGGGGCACGGTGTGAGAAATGCCGCGGCCCCCTCCCGGGTTCCCCGGTCCTGCTAAGGGTGACGTTGTCGGGGATGCTAACGGGGCTATTAAGCAATGGCCACCCCGCCCCATGGGTGGAGGACACTCGCTGCCCCTCAGAGTGTCCCCTCCAGCTCCCAGTGCCATCCTCAACCCATCAGAAAAGTCAGGGTCTGGGGGACCCCCCTTCATGGGAAGGATCTTTGCAGGGACAGTATTCAGTCCGTACGGGGTGATATGGCTGTCGTCAGCCTCGGCATACGAGGAGTCGTCGGCCATTAGCCGAACGTGTGTTGACCAGCACCTATGGAGCCGTTCTGCACCTGTCTGCTTCTGCTGCAAAGTGGGGGCACGCTCCTGTCCCACAGACACATCCCACAGAGGGGGGAGGCTTTTTAGCGCACTTTGTTTTCCTGAACCCAGGATGTACATTTTGAGTTGGTTTTGTGATGTGCCTCTTCATCATTTGAGCCATGGGTAGCGTGTGAATTCCTAGTTAAAATTCTCACAGTTAAGAAGAAAAAAAATTCTCCCAAGAAAAAACATTTCCAGTTTGATTGCATAGTAAAATCAGGCCCTTTTTTCTGTACAGAAACTTTTTGTGGAAATCGTCCTGAATTATGTGTGTGTCTATGCAGATGTGTATACTCCAAGTTGGCAGATACTCTACACTAGAAATTTAAAGCATGCTTTAAGATGAGAGACGGCTGGAACTGTGACTAAAATGTTAGGTTTGTACTAGATGCTTTTAAATTAGGATTTTTAATAGGCAGGGAGATAGAATCCACGAGCACCACAGGTATAGCGGCAATTTCAGAGCTGAGTGCTGCTGAATATTACCCATTTCCAGACAGAATTCTCAGTATGGTATTAGATTTACATCTAATTTCTATCACATGAGCCACATAGTCTTACAAGATGGTATGTTTTGATGTCACAGTATTACTCAGAGTACTTCATAAGTATACGTGTTATCATATTTTCTCCAGTTTTTCTGAGGTAGCTGCTTTGCATTTTTTTTTGGTATGGTTTTTGAGTGTTTTGAGTGTTTAGTATAACCCGTTGCTTTTTTGAAATTTTCTTTTGACATCTACCTCTGTCCACCTCCGTCCACCATCCTTTTTCCTTTTTTTCTTTTTTTCCCTTGCCTATATTTCTTTTCCCCGGCCACTTGTCTCTGTCTCCTTGTCCTGCTGATCCATTCC